TTTTAATGAAAAGTTTGTCATACGAGCAGACGGTTCACCTGATGTCAAGTGGATACCGCCGCCCATGGACATCTGGTACACCCGAGGGTTCCAGATGCGTTAACAACCTTTTGAAAATTGGGCTCTGGCCACCACACTCACCAGACGAAACCCTAAAGTATTATACTTCCACTTTACGCCTATCTTTTGTGAGGTCCTAGTACCTACCCGGACGAGCCTGCCCATTCATGCAACAACCGAGGCTGCTTCGTGGCCCTACCACCCTAAATTATAATTCCCCTTTCCCTAAATTATATTCTTATAAGTAATCCTTTTTGCACTGTCATACGTTTAAAGATTTAACAGCCTATAAAATGTCTCACGGCTGGGCAAAGGCCTCCGGCACAGAGGGTATCAGAGCATGATCGACCACGCGGCCCCGCTGCGGATTGACGGAGTTCACATATTTTCGAAATAGTTTTTTTGTTATTATTTCGAAAATATACAGGTTTCTCACGATGTTTTCCTTCACCGTCGAGCACTGAGCTAGTGTCGATGTAACCATAGATTTTAAACTAGATTATTTATAGTACTTTAGTTCCTTCCTCGATTCATCTTGTCAAAGAAAGCATAAAGGGTACATACCTAACTGTTCCTTTTGATCGATGTACACATTAATTCGGTCGATCATTATTTTAATATCTTAAATATAATTTCAAAAAAAAGTGCCGTAATTCAAATACGAGCGATTTTATTTAATTTAATAAAAATAGGTTCTTTCCCTCGCCTTTTTCTTATTCTCTCTTATTTTCCTAAGTATATTCTTATATATATTTGAAATTCGAATTCCCGCACTCAGTCTCCCGCGCGTGCTTCAAAGAAACTCCTTAATGCAGCTATAATAACGTGCTTTCCGCGAAGAAACGGATAGAGCTCAGCGGTAGGATTAATTTGCGCAATTCAAATTCTGAGAATTTCGAATTTAAAATTTTCGTATATCCAACGACAAACTCGCTACCGGATATTCTAAAAAGGTTCTACCTAACGCAAAAAAAAAAAAGAAAACGCGAAAATTACGCACACGATTCATTAAAAGAACATGAAATAATCGTGTGATGATTTATAAGCTATGTGAGTAAACTGCATATATTGATACTGCCAGTTTATTATGCAGAAGATAAGTGTAAATTTGAATGCAACACCAGAACAAATTTATCAAATCCAGGAAACCTCCGATAAAATTGTAATGTATCGAATGAAACACGGACTATCGCAAACTGATGTATTTTACCAAGACACAGGTTATTGTGACAGTTTTTGCGGGTTGCACCGAATAAACTAATAAAAACATGACATTTACCTCCTCTTAAAACAAAAACAATATCATTTAAATTTAAATAAAACTAAAAACAAAAAATGGTTAGAGAGATGTGAACAATAGAAGTACAATGCATTAAAGGAACATAACATATAAAATAACTTATTATTAGTTAGGTACAAAATAGTTTAACATAATTTATATGCATAATATGAGCGACAAAGAGTTTTTTTGAATTTGAATATTTTTGAAAGGGGATTTGGGGCCGCGTACGCTATACCCTCTGTAAAGGCCTTTGCCCACTTATTTTTAGACGGGATCTTAATTTCATAGCATGCGGAGTGTAAGTTCGTTGTTGGCGCGTCTGTCCGGGACGTTCTGCAAACTCATCTTTCGCAATACTTAAGGGAGTTGGTGTAGCGCTATTACTAAGGTCACCCCCACTATTTCCTTCCACATTGCTATTTAGGGTGCAAGAAACTAAATTATCTCCCGAAGAAACTGATTCATTTAACGGAGTTGACCAACCATCGTTAACATCTTCATTTATTTCCTCTGAACCTTTAGCAAGGGCTGGACTCACACAGGATAGAGAATGGCGTGATTTTCGAGACGTTTTACTTAAAATTTGGTCTATGTGTTTCTTGACGGTCCTATTATCCTCAGTGTTAACGCGAAAAGACACAGGTCCGGTTTTGTCTACTACCACCCCTTCCTTCCATTTAATATCTTTATTTGAATAATCACGGAAAAGTACAGCATCGCCGGGAGCTATGTTGCGTGAAACTCCACCTTTCCTCTCCGTTTGAATGCTCTGTTTCTCTTTAACTATATCTGCGGTTACTGGACGCAAAAGATCAAGCCTACCACGTAAACGCCGCCCTACGGCAAAACTGAAGGTTCTTTTTGTGTCGTACAGTGTTCCGTATTTCTATATGTAAAGAGAAATTTACACAGAGCTGTGTTGTAATCTTCATTATCAACAGACGCTTTTTTAAGGACTTGTTTAACTAATCGAACTGCATTTTCAGCCGCACCATTACTTGCCGGATGATACGGGGCGACTAAAATGCGTTTAATACCGTTACTCTCTAAATTATTTAAATATTCTCTTGAAGAGAAGGGTGGACCGTTGTCACTAACTATGGATTTCGGAAGACCGAAACGTGAAAAAATTTTACGCAAACAAGAAAGAACTGCCTGTGCTGAGGTGCTCGAAACGTTTTCCACTTCTCTCCATTTTGTATTGGAATCAATTAAGACAAAATAATATTTATTCTTAAACGGCCTTAAAAATCCAAGGCTCTGTCGGCCATGGCCAAGAGTGTAGCGGCGCGGGCGGCGGCTCACTGCGCTGCGACGAACAAGCGTTGCAATCGCGACATATTTTTTCTATGTCACTGTCTAATCCCTCCCACCATAAATAATTTCGAGCTGTTTGTTTCATTTTTACTACGCCGATGTGACCGCTATGTAATTCACGTAGTACAGCACTTCTAAGAGTTTTGGGTATAATAACACGATAGCCCCAAACCAAGCAACCGTGTTCTAGAAACAAATTATCCTTTTTATTAAAGAATACTCGCTCGCTTTCATTTTGCATACGTTCTGGCCAGCCAAATTTTACATATCCAGCTATCTTTGTTAATTGACTATCTTTAAGAGTTTCAGCTTTAATTTCGTGAAACGTGACCGGTAATCGATATTCTATAAAATTTAAATAACTCCCTTCGAAAGTATCACTAGCATCTCTTACTGTCCGCTGCATAGGTAGACGCGAAAGGGCATCCGCAAAAAAGTTTTTCGATGATGGGACGAATTCAATATCAAAATTATATGCAGCTAACTTAATCGCATATCGTTGTAAGCGACTTGCCGCTGTTTGTGGAATACCTTTGTTTTTACCGAAAATAAAACTAAGAGCACGATGATCGCTACGCAGTAAAAAATGTCTACCGAACAAGTATTGGTGGTGCTTTGTTACGCCAAACACAATCGCTAACGCCTCTTTATCTAGTTGCGAGTAGTTGCGCTCATGAGCGTTTAGAGTGCGCGACGCACAGCTGACCGCGCGCTCTGAGCCGTCGGGATAGCGGTGCATTAGCACCGCGCCTAAACCGTAAGCACTACTGTCCACAGAAAGGATTAACGGCAATTTATAATCATAATGCGCCAACACCGGACCACTGCTCAGTATGCGTTTAAATCTTTTTAAATGCAATTTCACACCGTTCATCCCAAAACCATTTAACATCTTTTTTGAGCAAATCGTATAAGGGTTTTAATATGTCGCTTATATTAATGCAAAATTTGGCATAAAAATTCACGAGCCCAAGAAAACTTTTTAATTGTGTTACATCTTTTGGGGTGGGAGCGGCCACAATCGCTTCCACTTTCTTATCATCTGCGTGTAGGCCGTTCTTATCTATACGGTATCCTAAATATGTAACACTATCTTGAAAAAATTCGCATTTTGGCAAGTTAACACGTAATCCCACATCTCTTAATATACTCAAGACAGCTCTTAAGTTTTTAAGATTGCTTTCTTTATCTTTTCCAGAACAACAAATATCATCTTGAAATACAACCGTTGACGGCAATCCATTAAGAATTTCTTCCATAATTTTCTGAAAATTTTCGGGTATACATTTAATTCCAAAAGGGACGCGCTTATAAACGAAAGTTCCTATATGTGTAGTTATTGCAGTCATCGGTTGAGATTCTTCTGTTAATACGAACTGTTGATAGGCGTGGGACAAGTCGAGTTTTGAAAATACCGCCCCTCCCGATAATGTAGCAAAAATCTCTTCTATGCGAGGAAGTGGATAATGAAAATCTTTTAATCGAGAGTTAATGGTTATTTTGTAGTCTCCACAAATGCGTATGTCTCCATTCTTTTTAATAACAGGAACAATTGGGGTTCCATAATCGGAACGCTCCACTTTGTAAATAACACCGTCGCTTTGCAAACGTTCTAGCTCTCGTTCTACTGGCGCCCGTAACGCGAGCGGCAGCGGACGCGCTTTAACAAAAACCGGAGTTTTATCTGCCAAATGTAACTGTATAGGAATTTTACATGTCCCAAGCCCATCGGTAAAAACATCGCAGAATTCTTTTCGCAAAATGTCAATAGGTTCTGTTAAACCATCGGATATATTGTAAAAATCATTTATGTTTACACCTAAAATCCGTATCCAAGTACGACCCATTAAAGGCGGACCACCGTTTTTAATTACAAAAAGTTGAAGATTTTCCGATCGCGCTCTGTAAGTAACTTGCACCACAATATATCCGACTGGTGTTATTACATTGCCGGTATATGACTTTAACGTTAGAGATTTTTTATGCAGTTGTACTTTAGAAAACAAAACATCATAGCATGACTTTGAAATAGCCGAAAACTTACAACCAGTATCAACTTCGAACTGCATTGAATAATTATTTATTTTTAAATTAATGTAATATGGGTTGTCCTCACCATCATAGGATAAATTATAAAAGTTTAGACTATCTTCTGTATCGGAGTCAACTAAAAAAAAACTGACCTTTAGTTGTTCTTAATTGTTCTGATTCGCGATCACCTTCGAACTTACGGCACATAACTTTTAAATGTCCTTTCTCACCGCACTTATCACAATGATACGCCTTGAAACGGCACCTGGCTGCCGCATGACCAACTCTGCCACACCGCGGACATGGGCTACGTCGCACCGCTGCCGCCCCGGGGGGGACGCTGCGCTGCCGGTGTAGATGAAACGCGCGCATCGGCCGCACGATGTAGCTCGCGCTTCCCTGCCACCGCTGCCACGCGATGGATGCCATCGGATGGAACTGTGGCAATGCTGCCGCTGACCGCTGACGTTGCTGCATGCCTATCAGCCGCTTCTAACGCCAGGGCTAGCTCCACCGCCCGTTTATAATCCAAATCACGTTCAGCAAAAAGTCTAGATCTCATATCCTCGTGAAGGAGACCGGACACAAATTGATCTCTCAAATTAACTTCCAATGTCGTTCCAAAATTGCAAGTCTTGGCTAAGTGTTTCAAACATTGCAAATACTCGTTTACGGTCTCCCCCGAAACTTGCTTTCGTTGCCTGAAAATGTGTCGTTCTGCGATTTCCGATCGTTGTGGCTCGAGATGCAGTTTCACAATTAACTCAAGTTCTTCGAAAGACTTTGCTTCAGGTAAATCGGGCGCGCATAGGTCACACATTAATTCGTAACAGGTTACCCCAACGTGAGTCACTAATGTGGCCACGTGTAACTCTTCCGGAATGTTATTGAGTACGATAAACTGTTTAATTCTTCTGCAATACGCATCCCAATTATGCGTCCCGACTTCAAACGTTTCAATCTTTCCAATAGGCATTGTAGCTGCTCCAAAAAGTACACGAACTATGTCTCTTTTTTTTTTTTAAAAAAAAATTAAACCGACTGCGCCAATGTAATATATCGAATGAAACACGGACTATCGCAAACTGATGTATTTTACCAAGACACAGATTATTGTGACAGTTTTTGCGGGTAGCATCGAATAAACTAATAAAAACATGACAAAAATCATCCAACAAATTTGCATGTGGGCGTATAAAAAAGCATATAGTATCCATGTTACAAAAACCTATACACCAAGATAAAGTTCTATGTTACTAATCTTATATAAAAAACCTTTACACCAAGATGTTACTAATCCTATATATGTTTTTGCAATCAGTGCAGACCGAAATATTGATTGACCAATTGATAACAACATTTTTGCTGGGTACAATCATTGAATAATTTTACATGTTTGAAGTTACAGTTACTTTTTATGCCTCTCTCATCTTAAAGCATAATATTTTTGAAAAAAAACAAAAGAATTGAGTAATCAGTGAACGCATTTGCGTAATATGTAAACGTAATGCAATAAAACATGTTATATTTCCGTTGCCGTAAATAACTAATCGTCACGGTGCGATTTATAAAAAAAACCTTTTCAGTTGTTTCGTCGCATTTAAATGTTGAAGAAGCACAGTACTATCTCAGGAAACAAAGACGTGGGGAGAAATTGTTCTCCATCCATACACCTCTGAGTTTCTCCGGCGAGAAAAACATTTCCACCATCAACGGAGGTGCCCGTTTCGCTAATTGTACGCCGTTAACAAAGATCGGCGGTTCTCATGGTTAAAAGTAACCGATCGACGAGTTAGTTAACAACGTCTATATACGGCGAGGTCGTGAGTTGGCGATGGGATAAGGGGAAAGAAATCAAGCAATAAGCGCCGCGCGGTCTAGATTTACGATTTGCTCCATTGTTTAAGCGATTAGATTAAAGATCTCTTAAGTGATTCGGATTTTATCTGGTCGCGTTCGTGGCTATCAGATAAATAAGACAACGATGACCCAGTAAATGTTATATACACATACAGGGAGGCTTTTCTAAGTATATTAATTGTTTTTAAATAAATTCTAGACATAAATAATGTTATATAAAAAATGATAAATATTTAAAATCACTGATAATTAATTAATTACATTCATTTGAACTTATCTCAAAAAGTGCGTAATTTATGGGCAACTCATTTATTTTACGCGCGATCATTCATAACAAACACGCGCACTAGTTCGTTTCAAAAGTATACGACGCATTTATGAATGACTACCGCATTGTCAACAAGTTCTGTTTTTTAGGGAACGGAATGGCAATTCAATTTTTTTGAAAAAAAAAAGTTTGTTTTTATTTCAATAAACGATTCTACTACCGAGTCTGAACCTCCTGTGTCAATTTGGGCACCTTAAGAAAAGCCACCCTGAATAAGAATTAATGTTTGTGTTTTAGTTCCCAACGCGTTCTCTCAGCATCAATCGGATTGATGTGAAACTTTTTACTTTTGTTTTAGCACTCTACTCAAGAACTTTCTTTAAACTCTGGGCCTTGTTTGAATATAAAATTACTTCGTCACAACTTTTTTCCATCCGCCTAGACGAATCTTGTTGTGACAGAGCTGCTTGCTCCTTTCCGATTTTATAGCCATTTATTCATTCAAAAAGTAGTTTACAACTCCTAATTCTCTGAATATTAAGCTTTAGTTTGAAGATAAAGACTTCAAGTCCTTATCATTACAGCAAAAGTTACAGAACTCTTGTTAGCTAAAATAATTTTGTTAAAGTATGTTTTGTCTTTTCAAATTCTATTGCGCTTTACTTATCGTATATTAAAATTGTGAATAGAATTCTGTCAACACTATAACAACCGCCCACAATTAATAAATGCAAGTTAATTTTCAGCGAACAAACTGTGTCATTATCACTACATAGTATTAAACAAAGTCGTCCTGCTGTTTGTCTGTCTTTATGTATGCTTAGGTCGAACGAACGCTGGTCAACAATAATAAAGGTTTCATTTCCTCAATATTGATTACGTGGCGCTGAAATAGTTGCGGTTGCGGTTGTTGAGGGGAAATCCGAGGGTTGGAAGCTATCGAATACCGGATTTGCGTTAAAATTTACTTGATTTTTTAAGTAAAACTTCTTTAGGAACTAAGGAGGAACTGAATGAATGCTTTGGATGACGACAAAGCAACGGAAACCTGTTGCGGCGATGACGCTTTTCTATAGCATCCGATTTTTAAATATTTACCTTATATGTCTGTATCTGAACCATACAATTAAAATAAAAAATAAGGAATAATTATTTATATGTAATAAATATTCATTGTTTAAAAGTTTTTTCTAGTTTTACTTCAACTGCATATAACGGTTATTTTAACAATGTTACTTTTTCAGATCCGTCTATAATCTATCAAGCAGAAGTCTGGAATGTTAAGTTCGAGGTCTGGTTCAGTTCAGTCTATATTTTCACAGTGAAGTATGGGACACCAACTCGCATGTTCCGTCTACAAATTTTGTCAATATATGGAATTATCATGCATTTTTTATAATTTTTTTAACGAAATTATTTTTTTTAAAGAAAACTTACTTCGTTCGACTTGACCATTTTTCTTCAATAGCGACAAAAATAACTTAAAACATTAAATTTGATGAAGAATTATAATTTATGGAGTTTCGACACAAAAACGGTTTTGGCAACACAAACAATAATAATGTGACGAAACTCGAATTGAAGAAAATTCTGAAACTCAAGATTAAATCTTTTCTGTAGGCGTAATTGGCACACATTAAAATAACTGTTTTAAACCTGTCACCAAAAGTCCGAACGTAAATGGAAAATGAGTTGTGATAGATAGAGTATAAGTTGAACTTCTATTAACGGTATTACTGTACAGAGTAAAATGTACTCTTAATGAATCCAATATAAAGTATCTTTAATCAATATTTCAACTACATTTACCAAGAAATTGTGACTTGAAGAGTAAGTACAGTAAATAAAATTTCGCATTAATAATACAAGTTGCGACTCTACAATATATGCATATAGTGACGATCGCAAAAATCACGTTCGCCACGAACCGTTCCGGACGAAGGCAGACACGGATCGGCACTTTGTGCAATATTTAGTACGCAGGTTCCCTGAATATCGACCGCGACTGCTTCCGCGTAATGGTTATGGTGCAACGGACAGTAACAGCATACGTTCTACGTAACCATCGATCGAGCTTCGGTAAGACTCAGCTAAGACATAGACAGAAAATGACTGGCTACGACAGAGACGAAATACGACTCAGCTAATTACCTAGCCTAGGAACCGTCTCGCGTTTATTGTACGGGAGCCCCTTAAATATATTTTGTTTTATTCTGTCTTTCAGTATTCATTGTTATAACAGCAACAGAAATACATCATCTGTGAAAAGTTCAACTGTCTAACTATCACGGTTCACGAAATACAGCCTTAATATAGGTCTTAGTAATAGGGTCCCGTTATATCCCCCTTTGCATACGGAATTCTAAAAACGACTCGGCTACGACAGAGACTCGGACACAGCTGAAGAAGAAGTTAGTTTCTATATATTAATGTGTGAAGAGACAGCTTCGGATCCCTTTAAAAAATATTGCACGCACGGAATAGTAGGAGAACTAGAGTAGTTTGTGTATAATTCGTTAAATTTAATGAATCAAGGTCGAATATCACACAATGGGTAATTATGAGCATAAATTAGTACATAAATGAATAGAATTGTAGCGACAATAATCTTGATTTGGTGCAACTAATAAAAATTAAAGACGCTCACACTCTCTGTTTCTCTAGGGTCAAATGAAAATACGCAATTTCGATTTATCTCACCTATTTGTTGGCATACCGTCTTATATACCTACATAATACCGCAACTGCTAATTGTTAGCATAGTCTGAGCACTTGCCTTTAATTTTTGTATACTCGAGCAACCAGAGTTCAAAACCCAATGGCGACCCCTTGGAACAGTAAAGTTAAGTTTGCTGATTTACCATCGGCTCTGTGGTGAAGGGAGAGGAAGGACGGAAATATGACTCAATGATCTTTCCACTTAAGTCTCATCGATGCGCCTACTGGGAACAAACCCACGATCTTACATCGGAAATCCCTCAGCCCAACCGCTAGATTAGCACCACCTCTATAATTTTACGACAAAAGTAGTGCTCAAAGAGCTAACTATACGAAACATAAATCGATAAGGAATCACCCTAACTGAGAGTCAAAGCCTAGAGTCGTGACTTTGTTGTTAGTTTAATATTCATCACACTATATGTAGTTCTCCTATTACCATTACTTGAGTAAAGCAACATACAGAAAGCCTAATAATTGCTTGCTTTACATAATTATTTAAACGTTTACATGACTACTTCTTCCACTAATGCTGCACGTCTGTTCTGCCTCTTAAACGTTTGCATATTTATTATACCTAGGATTTAGTTTTTAACCGACTTCAAAAAAGAAGGAGGTTCTCAATTCGATTGTGTTTTTTTTTGTTGATGATTCTTTTTATATTTGAAAGCTGGTGCTGCCCATGTGGTCCCGTATTAATTCTGTGGTATTAATGGTATTGGATTTTGGTTTCCGGAGATACTTAGGCAATTCCTGATAACCAATTTTAAAACGAATACCGTGCGAGATATTTGAAGTCAGTTTTGTTTTTCGTTATTAAAACATAAACTTGTTAAGCCATCCATGTCTTGTATAGCTTGGTTTACTTATTGCTTCCTTCGTTTTTCGTTTTCTTGGTTATAGCTTGAACGATTCTACCCTAACACTGAACTATTCCTGATCTGACAGGTGGAGCCCAAGAGGCCCCGGGGGGAGGAAAATGCAAACAAAGAACATCAATCTGAGCCGCGATCAAAGTAACGATAACTGCGAACTGCAGGTGAGTTACAGCAATAGTACCTGATTAAAATAAACTATTTTATTGCGTTTAATTTATTTTTTATTTCACGACGTTTAGATCACATTACAGCTCTCATGGTCACCCGATAAACCGAGTTCCTTTCGGCATAATGTTATAGTTACGGGATATCAAGGCTATCGTCAATTACAAATTTTCATTATTTAGTTTAGTCTAAATTGTGCAAATTATAGTAAACTTGAGGTCTTGCGGTGTTTGTGCTTTTTTTGTGTTTGTTTGTGCTTCTATTTAATTTTATAAATTACTAGAGATCAGTGATTCTTTGCGACAATTTTAGGTTTATCGAAATGTAACGGTTTATCAATTTTAACGGTGGTAGGGCCACGCAGCAGCCTCGGCTGTTGCACGAATGGGCAGGCCCGTCCGGGTAAGTACCACGACCTCACAGAAGACCAGCGTAAAGTGGAAGTCTAGTACTTTTGCGTTTCGTCTGGTGAGTGAGGTAGCCGGAGCCCAATATCCAAAAAGGTTGTCAACGCATCTGCAAACCCTTGGTTGTAGCAGATATCCATGAGCGGTGGTGTTCACTTAGCATCAGGTGAACCGTCTGCTCGTTTGGCAAATTTTTACATTCTAAAACGCGGCGTTCTAAAACGTGATCACGTATCATTATTCACCATTAATCACCGATGTTAGATACTCAGTTATTTGTTCTGTGAAACGTTTCTTGTCATAATATCAGTTCCAAAAGTACTTAATAATAAAAATAACTTATAAGCATAACTTATGAGCCGTGATAGCCCAGTGTCCGGGCGCTCGCCTTTAATTCAATATACTCGAGCAACCTGAGTTCGATCCCCGGTGCCGGCACCAATGAAGTTTTTAACTTTAAGTGCTGACTTATCACGTGCTCTGCGGTGAAGGAAAACATCGTGAGGAAACCTGCATATTTCGAAATAATAACAAAAAAAAATATTTTTGAAGATATGTGAAGTCCGCCAATCCGCAGTGGGGCCGCGTGGTGGACTATGCCCTGATACCCTCTCTATAGAGGAGGCCTTTGCCCAGCAGTGGGACATGTATAGGCTGTTACTTTTTTTTTTAAGCATCTAAGGGGTTTTTGAAGCCTGTAATAACATCGAGTCACAAATTTAACTTTAATATTTAATCATAATAATATGCAGGTTTTATTCTATCTGTTTTGCTATGAGACACCATAGCAAAACAGATAGAAAGACAAAAGTTAAATGTGGATTTATTTAAGCGCCATCTGTCAAAGCACATAGGCGTTAAAATAAAACCAAGTTCAGTATGCCGAATGAATTTCCGCAATCGTTCATATTTTATAGCAAGATGGCGCTAATATCAACTTACTAGCTAAGAATACAAAACTTGACAACAATTATAATGAAAATTTAAAATAATAATGTAATTGTATTCGTTTGCGCCTTTACAAGAGGATGGCGCTAATATAATCGTTTCAAAACTGGGCACAAAATCACTCGTTAAAATCAAAAATAATTTATTCGTGTGCTTCAACAGAAATCATGCCGCCAAGATCACCAGGGGCTTCCGAGCGATGTGTCAGTGACCCACCAGTGCATCCTGAACCAAGTCACGAGGTCCACCATCGGTTCCACGTATCACGGTCAGTATGCAATATGAAATTGAACAATATTCAAATGGGGCCCGTTTGTTTCCCGCGTGCACGTTTCTGTGAAATATCGCCGACTCTGTTTATCGCTGTAGTTGATGGGCGCGTTTATGGGCTTCTACGATTTACGCGACCTCTTTAAGGTCGTGCGTTCGGTTTATACGATTGTCTTTGTGTGTACGCGTAACTAAAACAATTTCCTCGAATTGTGCTCATTCTAAATTTATACGCGCATCAAAATATCGCGCAATTCCTAGCAAAGGGCTGTAGAAGGTCACTATCGACTTTTGATATAAAGCCTTAAATAAGTTTTCGAAGAGTGCACTTACGTACAGTTGTTTGCAAACAATGTTGGCCACGAACTGGTCAGTTTGGCTGCTAGCCAAACGTACTTAAGGAACATGTACACTCTCTAGTCAACGGGCTCAGTGAACTAAACAGACATTTAAATTATTTTTTTCAGGACTTGTTTTATCTAAGAAGCATTGAGATAATCTTTAGCATTTGAGTACCTACTTTACTTTCATTTAAGCAAAAATAATTTGTTTCTATGTCCACCGGTGCAAATTAAAAAAAATATCTAGTTGAAATAGTTACGTCACTATCATACAAAAAATATTTAAACATAGTGCCATCAAAATAAAAGCTATAGAATGTAATTTAAATAGAGATAAATTTTAATAGTTTTGTAGTCATTACTATTACATTATTAGAATGAAAAAATGGGACGAAACATATGCATGAAGGTTTCGTTAGTTTCCCATGTGTTTACTTAGATGCAGTAACACTTTTATTCAAGGATGCTTTCAAAGCCCATTACAACTTGTAACATTTTTTCATTTATTATGGTTGTATTACTAGTTACAACAAATAAAAAGTTTAAATGATTTTGTCACAACGTAACGTTCAGCTACGAAAGAATATAATAATAATTAATGTACATTATAACTTAATCTTTGAAGTAGAGCAACAGTTGTAAGTTCTTTTCTCGTCAACGTCAATTAAAGATGTCTTTAATATAATACTAAAGTTTTACTAATTACATTAACGTTAACGTTTAGTACTAAAATTTCAAAGCAATGATTTATCTCCGTTATATAAAGTAACAAAAAAGACAACTATCGATATAGAAATGTATCGAAAGAAAAAAAAACAACTGTTGTTGTTTTAACATAATATGTATGTCAATTGGGACTCGAATAATCGAAGTTCACGTTATTTCAAGTATTAGAACCGACTATTTTGAAGAAAAGTCTCGAAATTACTCATCGATGCATAATGACAAAGCGCCCGATGAGTGGGAAAGATCCTTTATACGATTCCGTCCGTATTTCGTTAGTCATCAACATGTTCAACACAAAAAGGCGAACGCCGAAAACGTCAGTGTTAGCGCCCCGAGCGGCCGCGCACACGACGCGCGTGATCAGAAACACAAGCGGCGATCGAAATCTAGCCTTCAGTAGAAACCGACGTTAACAAAGGCATCTCGGCGAAACGGCGTGATGGACAGTCGTGGCCGTTTAGTTACTGATTCGCACCTCTGTTTTAATTTTCGTTTTATGCCGCATAAATGAGCATTTAGTTTACACTTTAATCTCAAAAGTTTCGTGGTGAAAGTGCTGAGTTTATTCGAGTTACTGTGCTAATAGTAGTCAGTGCTTATCTCAAACTGGATCCGCGACGGAGAGGCATATTGGGAACCCCGGAGGACTTTCTGCATCTGGCGAGTAAGTTGCGGACGTAAATAAACAACTGATTATATTTTTCTAACCTCAAACTTTGTTGTTGAAAAGTTTCTGGCGGTTGTCAGGTCCCCTTAATAGATGGCGGTATATGTTTCATATTTTTAAATAACGATGGCATAAAAAATACACTATTATGTATATCACGTTGTAAGTAATAACATTATTTATTTAAAAATAAAGATGTTTTCCTATCCACTGTAATAAAAAAAATTAAGTTTATTGTAAACATGATATTAATCAACTTTTCAATTTAACTTTTTCTGTCATGAAGATCGTAATATTTACTATTAAAAAACTTTAATAATGAATGTTAAAATTTATGTTTATGTTTTTAATCTGAAATTTCTAATAAATTCTCATCCACGCCGTTAGGCCTAGACATATTGAATGGAAGGAGAAAAGTAAATATTTTATAAATTACTAACACTCAAATAATTTTATGTCAGTTATAAATAACTTTTTTTCTTTGAATAAATACTGTAATATAAAGCTTATGCGGCATGGTTGCTCAAGTGTGCTCCTTGTCACTTTAGCTATGATGCTTTGGGTTCAAACCCGATTTTAGGTGATCTAAAATTGAGGAATTTTTATTCTAAAAATTACACATTTATAACACAGGCAACGTTGGACATTTTTCGTAGGAGATTTTAAAAATACTAATAAAAACAGACTAGAGCTGTTTAATATACGTACAAACAAACCTCACCATCATTTGAATTGTTATTAAATAAATGCATACCATACACCCCTTATAAGGCATAACCACAGATTTAGTAATTACTATTGGGGCAAAACACTACGGAGACCAATTATCTCGCTCAAACAACGAGAAGGGCTCCACAAAAGGTCTAAAAAGGTTTTAATTGAATACATCGCGTGATCTTAAGTGAGATCGGCCCTAGCGATTGTTGCACGCAAATTACTGCGCTTTGTTCCGTTGTGGAAAGAACAACGTTAGCCGTTCGTAGTATTTAATACAGCTACCATATAACTCATAAAATATACATTAAATATATTTTGTTATTTTTGAAAAGGAAATATAATATATAATTATATGTATCTATATTAATTTCTTGCATTGCTAGATTTTTCAAACATCGACCCGCGTCTTATTTTGGTTTTACTTAGCTATTTTATATAATAGAAATTGTTATTATTATATTTATTCTATTCGCACCTCCTTACTCTCTCTGTTTATTTGTCGGTTGACTGGTAGAGAAAACCTAATGGTCTTAAGTCCGCCGTACATTATTGTGCATAAAATTTTTAAGTGAATAATTAAACAGTTTTATTAATTAATTTGAATTGTTTTAATCGTTTTATCATATCTGGTTCGATGATAAGATATACTCGTAATTATTCTGAGTTGCAGAAAAATTTTAAAGAACAATGCTAGTAATTATAAATTGACTGAACTCTAAGATTTTTAGTGATCCTATGTAGGTTATACGGGCTAAGTCGAAATTTAGACCTATTATGCTGACCTAGCTACATTGGCAACAGATGTATCAATATATGGCTCAATACATATTTTAATTGCTCATTATATTACGCTGTACAAATGTATTGAGTGAAAACCTCTTTTACTAACATATGGCGATTTGAAATATTTTCTTAAGTGTGCCAGTACTCCGTTAATGGCAGGAAAATTGGGTTATGACGAAAAGAGGTAGTCCGATGCAATTATATACAATTTTTTACGAAGTACTTGTAGTACTTCGTAAAAAAAAATCTTTATAGATCTCAAAACCTCTTTATAAAGTGAATATGATAAGATAAAGCCGGCCAAAGAAATTGATAATCTGTGAAAATTTCAACTGTCTAACTATCACGGTTTATGAGATACATCCTGGTGACAGACGGACAGACGGACAGACAGCGGAGTCTTAGTAATTGGGTACCGTTTTACCGAGATTTTGTTTTTCCTGACATTTTATGCAAGAAACCTTTACAATACTAAATTACATTTTTAATCGCATGCATAAGGGAAAAATCGGTATCTACGTTATAAAAATGTCCAAATATCCTCCGCTCGTGCAATACACATATCACTTGATTACGCAACGGAATAACTTTAGCGGGCCAAATCCTGGTTCGGGCAACGGTCGTCTCCGCAAAAGGAGACCGTAAGGCCCCGCAAAAGGTCCCGATTGACAATTAAATGCCCACGCGTCGCCGATAGCGCGGCGCACCATTTTCCCCTTACGCGATTGTAGTACGTAATAATACGTCCATTTCCGAACGACGCGGTACGACAACGTGCAATGGAGCATGCTTGTGATCACTGTGTCTGTAAGCCAGACAGAAAACGATGTGAATTGACATGAGACTAAAATGGAAGCTCGATTATTATTTATTATTTATTTAATCTTTATTGCCAACCTTCAATAAAACAAGGTAACACAGGGCGGACTTAATGCCCAAAGGCATTCTCTACCAGTCAACCCAGGATGTGGTGAGAGTTTATGGTGGATTAATCGGGCCCCAATTACGCGGAATCGCGATTAAGATAGATGAAACAGGAGAAAATGTAAAATGTAGAGACACATAATTTACCTTGCTACTCAGGAATCAATAAAATGACTTCTAGTAAAATAAAATTAGAATACGAAACTTAATTTGCTTTTGCTCAATTAAGTTTCGTATTTTAATTTTACGTAGTGACACAAAAAAAAACATGATACAAAAGAAACACATAAAATACATACATACTTATTTCTTATCTATATAAATAAGTCATTTACACCGATTGACTCATCACGATATCTCTGGAACCATAAGGCATATGGTAGAGGCTTGAAATTTTGTAGGACTATTCCTTTCACCAAGTACAGGTCAGCTAGGGACGGATTTTACGAAATTCCACAAAACAACGTTTGCCGGATCAGCTAGTATATTTATACTTATGGGATCTAACTCGATAAAGATAAAAGAAGCTTATCACCATACATAAGATGATATTCACAGTGGAAATATTATTGCATACTTCCAGGATAATTGGTTGAATAAAGATCAAGCTCTAGACAGTGTCATACAAAAAATAATTGATAATTCTAACAATCAAATCGCGATTCGATATTTTAGCTACTTCAACAGCTGACAACTATAACTTAATGCCATCAAAACTCTTGATATTAATCCGAACGATAACGTGGGTGTCAGCTAATTATCTCTGATAAAATCAAAAGCAGTCTTAAGGAAGTATTTTAGGACTATTAAAAAATGTTTCTACAAGATTATGTGTCCACCCACATACTACACGACTGTAGTATTTGACAGCTGGATATGTAACATTAAAAGCAGTGGATTATTTATTACTTACTATGTTTTCCTTAATCGTATGTTGTATAATTGCTATCTTGTTTGTTTCATGGCCATTACGTCATTACCCTGATTGATATGATTATTGTGACAGATATGAAACAGTCTCAGCTCTCGCGTTTGGAAACCTAAGTAAAGTATTCGATTCTCGAATAATATATTAAATCAGCATAACAATTATGAAAATGACGCTTTAGGCTGCAGTCCCCGAAGAAGATGATTAATTTGGAAGTATTTGAAAGCATTTCATATTCGACTAACGCTTCCATCCAACACAACGATTTTGCCATCAAAATTTAATATTTTTCTTATATCGCTATAGCTAAAAACAGTTACTTATAATTAATTTACTTCAATATCTGACGCATAATTTATCCCGAAGTTTTAAAAAAGTGATCATTATTGTTATTTGAATCACGTGAGCCGCTTACGTAATTTCCACCATCTTTATAAAAATGAAAAATATTTAATCACATACACAACAAGCGACCTTTACACACTTAAACGTTTTTTTAAAAATAAATCACCTGGCCGCCACCTAATACGGACTCAAATATTTTCAAATGTCAAATTGAACGGGTGATCTATCGAAAATTATCTGTAATAACCTCTCAAGTACATGCCCCCAGTCCAATTTTACCATATCAATGCAAAATAACACTTACAACGAGTATGTATTAATACCACATTCCTTTGAAAATAGTTCACATTTTTTTTACTTAATGTACACTGCATAATTGTACGTTAAAGATTTTGAACATATAAATGACGTTTTGTAATACTTCGAGGCAAGCACCTTATTACGAACGGCAATAGATGGCGATAATTTGCGCATGGATGGCCAAAACATTTTGTGTTGAGACATAAGTGAGGAATTGAAAAACGTTGCCCTATGAAGAAACAATTTATATCAACAGTTTATAAATTGTAGTCACTCGATTTCTGATATTTCGAGATGCCGTATATTTTTAATATTATAAATAACAAAAAAAATATATATATATACTTTAACACTTTTAAACTTTAACTTTAGCATAAATATAAAATCTATAAATAACTTGGCAGTTGTTTAGTTATCAGTTGAATTTGAAGCGAAAATATTTTTCAAGCATTTCTGAACGTGATTTGTCTATATAAAAGAGTTAAACGCACGCATAAACAGAGTCATTAAATTCATCCTTGTGTCCGATGAGATTATACGGCTATCAATTGAAACCTTTCGCTCAAAACCGTTTCAAATCCTAACAAATAATTTTTATTTTTCAGTGAGAACGTGAATTTATTTTTGTATATGTATAAAATGAGTTTTATTGATGATAATCACAATAATATCACCCATTAAGTTAACGACTTTCGAAAAGCAAAATATGTAAAAAATCATTGTAAAGTCACCTCACAGCTGCCTTG